AAAAGAAAGAAAAAGAAAAAGAAAAAAAAAGAAGAAAGAAAGAAAGAAAGAAAGAAAGAAAGAAAGAAAGAAAGAAAGAAAGAAAGAAAGAAAGAAAAGGAACTAATACAAGCATTTTTTAAAAAATATTATTCTTACTCACTTACTGGAAATCAATTCCAAGCATGAACACAGACAGTACATGAATGGCCAGCAGGTTGGTGAATTCTGAGTTCACTCAGCTATTTCTCAATCTTCCCAGTGTGGCATTCCAGGGCGTCTAATGCTTTGTCCACTCCGGGCTGGCCAAGTCTCACCATGTGAAACTGAAGCTGTCGTTTTATATATAACTCCCTAGCAATGGCTTGGGCTTGTCCTATGGAACATTAAAGCGAACTGGTAGAATGTGAGTTTCCCAGTCACAGTATCAGTATCACACAGCACAGTTTTCTCACTTTTTTTTTTTTTTGGTAAATATTAAGTAAAGGCTTTTTTTTTTCTTTCTAATAAAGGGTCATTGTTTGAAAGCATACTTACATAATGAGGAATGCTTTAAAGGTTTTATGTGACTTAAGAGAAAACAGTAGGACTAGGGATGTGGCTCACTGGCACACTGCTGACCTAGCACACCAGCGATCTGGTTTTGATCCTCAGCCCTGGGAGGAAAGAAATAGAGGGAGACAGGGAGGCAGAAAACTAGCCGGGCTTACATACACCTGCTGCATTAAAAGCTCCTTCCCCTGAGAATTCGGAGGCTTAGTCAACTATAAGCTTCAAACACACTAAGATGTAGGTCCTGTCATTTCCATGTGGACCCAAGAAGAAGTCCAAGGCACGAAAAGCTCAAGCCGCGTGCCTCATCTCCCAAGAAGACAGTAACAAGAGCAAGCCAAGATGGCGCCGTCTCCCCAACGCTCATAGAAACGGTTGTGGAATCTCAAGATGGTGCACGATCTCTCAGCAGCCTTAGGAAAATCGCAATGCTGGGGATTGTTTTTTCAGTGTATACAGCAGCGCTTTTCATGAAGTAATGTTTCACTACTTACAGCTTTATAAACATGACTGCTCATCTCTCTGGAACATCTCACAGTATTCTTCCCCTGCTGCAAAAGCCAAGTCATTTCATTAAGGGCACTTAAGGAAGAAATGATCTCACCCACCATGCCCGGCTTATTTTTCTCTCCTTACAACTTCCGGAAGACTGGCTTTCCTGTCCCCTTCTCCTTGGCTTCCTGTCACCCTTTCTCCTAAGCCTCCCTCTAGTTCTTCTTTTACAGGAGGAAAAGCTTGGTTCACCCACACAGCACTTTGTACTTGAGTTTTTCACTCAACGTTCTGGAAAGGTTTTGTACAGTACAAACGCCACACCATGATGACGTGAGTGTGAGCTTCCCTCTAAATGCCCAAATACATTAGAACAGCTTATCAAAAGCATAATCTTGGGCCCAAATCCCACCCCCAAAGGCCTTGTCTATATTCCTAGGAAAACAGTGATTGGACACAGCCAGCAGTACCTTTCTTAGAAAGAATTATTCGTGTGCACAGTTGAGCCTTCATGTATTTTGGGGGGATATTTCTTCCACACGTGGTAGTCCCAGAGCACACGTTAGAAAGCAAAAGGCTGCCTTCTGTGTGCCCATGCCCTCAGTGTGATGAAGCAATTGTGTCAGAAGCAACATAGGAAACCAAACAAGCAAGACTGGGCATAATGGATTGAAGGTCTGTGATCCCAGCCCTGGGGATGCTCCTCCAGGGAGATTAAAAAGTCAAGGCCGTACTTAGTGAAGTGGAAGTCATCTTGTGCTACATATTTAGACCCCATTTCAAATGAAAGAACGGAGCAGGAGTGGGAGGGAGAAGGGAGAGAGAGAAACTGCCGACATCTTGCAGTTCTCAGGGCTGCTCCCTGTCCTGTAGAGATCGGCCTCATTTCAAGACACATTTGCTAGTGTTTCTCGCTGCCCAGCACCTCATTCATAGCACAGCTTTCTGCAGGACTAGCTGACAAAGGGCATAGAAAAACAGGAGTTCTTAAAAACACATGAACAACGAATCAAGGAGTGACGGGTGCCCCTCTAGGGCTACGCTGCAGAGTGTTGTACTCTCGCTTACCTACAGAATCCCAGCAGCATCCATATAATAAAAGGCCACTTAGCAAGGAAACAAGCACTTAGAGTGGATTTAGTGAAAGTTGTGGATGACACAGAAGCCTTCAGAAATGAAAATCCAAGGACTAGGGAGCATTGTCCATTTTTTCTGCTTAGTTTGATGCACAAGAGACAGCCATGTTGAAATGGGACTGGATAAAAAGGCGTGGCCTAAAGGGAGCAGCTGGAGGAGGGACGAGTTTGGGTTTCTCTATGGAATACGTAGTTCTCTCAAGTATGGGAAAGGGACTTCTGGAGAGAGACTCTAAGGGTCAAAAAGAAAAGAGTGACCTTCCTGGGTTTTTCAGCTGACCTGGGAGAGAGGGACTCTAACGCTATGACTCTCCCTAGGGAAGAGGGATTGTAGTTTCCATGACAGGCTTCAGAAGGAGCTTGAAGGATGCAGGTTAAAAAGGTCTTTCCCAGCCGGGCAGTGGTGGTGCACGCCTTTAATGCCAGCACTCGGGAGGCAGAGGCAGGCGGATCTCTGTGAGTTCGAGGCCAGCCAAGTCTACAAAGCGAGTTCCAGGGGGAAAAAGTCTTTCCCACCACTGAGGGCTTTCTGATGTCCTTCACCTCCAAACACCCAGCTCATCAAGGCACTCTATATCTGAATTCTGTTTTCAGAAGTAAGGGCCTCTCAACCTTTTCCTCAGATGTTCCCTGTGAATCCTTGCACTCGGATGCCCCTCTCTCTCCTTGCACTCGGATGCCCCCCTCTCTCCTTGCACTCGGATGCCCCCCTCTCTCTCTCCTTGTACTCGGATGCCCCCCTCTCTCCTTGCACTCGGATGCCCCCCCTCTCTCTCCTTGCACTCGGATGCCCCCCTCTCTCCTTGCACTCGGATGCCCCCTCTCTCTCCTTGCACTCAGGTAATAATTGATGGCAGTCTAACACAAAATGTAAAACAAAACAAAACAAATCTCTCCATATGAAAAAGCAGGTATACTTTTCGCCTTCAAAAGCACTCTCTACTAAATAGGTCAACACTAGACTGTCCTCAGGGGCCCTTCCCTCCCCAGGAGTGCTGTCCATTTTCTGCCACTGTGTGTCTTTGTCCCTCCCTCTCACCTAGCTCCCACCTCCAGCACACTGACTGTCCTTATCAGCCTCTGCCTCTTTAAATCTCTGTCAACAGGACAGAGAGCCGTGCTCAGTGCTGATTTCTAGGAAAGCAGGTATGACTGAGTGAGCCTGGGACAGCCACCCTTCCTCCTGACTGCCAAGGAATAGAATATTTGATCAGAGTTTTCACAGACTTTATTTTATGAATGACCAGAATACTAATACTTTTTAAAAATTCCATTTGTCAGATGAAATAATGACCTCTCAGAAAAACTGAACAAATTCCTTTCCTGAAATATAATCTAAGAATTTATACTTTGTTGAGTAATCTTGAATCCTTGATTTCAAAGTATCTCAAATTATATTTGCCACAAAATTCCATGGCATCAAAATCACTTTTCCAAGATTAAGGTATTAATATCTGGCTGGGTTTTCAAAACCTGAACAATTAAAATTAGGAGGGAACCTACGGCTGAGCAGTGGCCCAGAGGTGGGGCTCACACCCCCAGAATGGAGTCTGGTTCTCTTTCTTTCCATGTTGTGTTCTTACAGGGACCTGACCGCACAGCTTTTATAGCCAGTGACTGCCAGATTTAAAGTGACAACCTTACACCTTAGTGCAATGCCATCTTCGGACGTTAATGTCACTGTTCTGTGAAGCACTTTCCAATCATAGGGAGCTCGATGCGTACAGAATGGAGCTAGCATTGCTCCAGACATAGCCTCTCTCCTCCCTTCCTGTTTTACAGACAAAGATGATGTCATGGGCGACTGAAGGCTGATTTTATGTGGCAGTATATCATTACTTCCATTCTATAATTCTCCCCAAATAGACACACAAAACGAAGGTGACCACCACAGTGAGAAAAGTACTATGATGTGTGCTTTGTAAAGAGTAGAACAAACAGTAGCAGCCAACAGCATAGTGACTGGGTCTAAACAGAGCAGCGCTGCAATTGGGAAGCTGCTAGCCTGTGCTCCCCACCCGGACAGATTGTGCTCCCGAGACCCACAAGTCCGGCAACAGTGTGATGACGGACAGAAAGTCACAATGCTTTCATGATTAGGGTTATATTTTAGACAAACTGAAATAACTGGAAAACACTCTCCTGGGTTGTTCTAACCTTATCACCTATGTCATCCACAGTCAGCTTTTAGATAAACAAGGTGAAGATCCGTGCTGGAGACATAAGGACTGGAAACCATGTATTCATATAATCAGTGTCTTATTGAAATCATCAGCCCAAAGTGGGGAAAAAAAACAAAAGCCAAAACACAAAACTGAAGTAGAGCTTGGTTTGACATGATTTGTCTAACTCATCAAATCATCAGGACGATGGGGAGAATTTTCTTTCTTAATTACTTATTTAGTTAGTTGTTGGTTAGTTTGTTAGTTTGTATTTTGGGGACAGGATCCATTCTATATATTTCAGACTAGCCCCCAACTCACTATGTAGCCAAGTCAGACCTTGAACTCATGGTAATCCTTTAGCCTCAACCTCTCAGAGTGCTGAGAACATGAGTAAGCCACCACACCTGGATATGGGAGGTATTTTCTAGATCTAAGTATACTATTAGATGATGGTGGTGGTGGTGGCGGCGGTGGCGGTGGTGGTGGTGGTGGTGGTTGTCATAGTAATCACTAATTGCCTACAGCTACAGCACACTAAATCCTATATCAAATAATTTATTTCTACCTCAGTTAATGCCGTTAAATCAGGAGCTTGGTACTATTATCTCCATTTTAGAGATGAAAGTGTCATACTGGTTGACTTTGGTGAACAGAGCGTTGAATTTGAACCTGCTCTGTGTTCTATTCTACATAAACATGAGGGAAAGATGTAGTGGTATGGCTTCCCCCTATTTAGAAATGAGACAGATAAATTCACAACAACTGAAAAAAAATGTAACGTACATGTGGGATTCCAGACTAATTTTAAAATAAGATGGAAGAATGATTGTCAACATGGACTTCTCTCTCCTTCCTTCCTAGTTGAGCTCAGAAACGCTCAGCCATTTCAGGCTCCTGACACTACAGGTAGGTGGCTCTCAGCTCCTTCCTTCCCAGTGTATAGACTGCACCCATCTCAAGCCCGAGCCAATATAAACTCTTCCTTCCTTTGGTAGGTTGTTTTCCTTGGATATTTTGTAACATGGATAAGGAAAGCACATTTGGCCATGATAGCTCAATGGAGTACAGAAACACTCATTCTTCACACTGCTACTCAACTCTGAGTCCTTATTACTCTGTGTGGATTACCAAAGTGGCCTCAGGCCACATCTCTCCCTCTCCAGATCTTTATAGTTACATCTCAAGCTCAGGCCTGGTAATACTGAACTCCTTCATCTCTTCACAGCACTGTTCTTTTGTCATCCCAGAGGCCCCTTGCTTTGTTAGCATCATCTGTCTCCTGCTCCAGTTCTCGCCACTCCTCCTGATGGTGACCAGTCCATCTCCCTAGTTCCCTTAGACCCAGCAGGCTCTTGCCTAGGACTACCACATCTACTGCAGTTCCTACCTTGCCAACTGGTTCATCCTTTAAGAAACAGCTCATATATCACTCGTTAATCACTACAGTATCCAAACTGTTAGACACCCTCTCTCCTGAACTTTTGTGCTGTCTCAGTATTAGAGGCAAAACCAACTTGTTGGGTGAATGAGCAAACTATGGATGCTGTGCTTTCTTGACTACTAAATCAATTTTTTTTTTGTGCAAAAGATCCCACTCAGTCTTCCAGTTAGTCCATGGAATAACTACATTTCTACTTTCTGCAAGCTGCTTTGCTAGGGGAAAGACAGTGGAGACAGAAGGAAGAGAAGACTCTGCTCTCACAGAACTCTTCTGCCCAGAAATGCAGATGACCAAAGCAAGTGCTGGGGATGAAAGAGGAAAGAATGAAGGAAAACCACCCCAGAAGGTGTTAGGATGATGTTCCCTAAGCACATTTACTTAAGAGCTCAGGGAGATGCCCATCTTTGTTGGGAGCTGGAGATTTCCTACACAATTGAAAAAGACTTGTACGCACTATGATCCAAAATCTGGAAGAGGTCTGTATGGCCAGCATCACATAGTGGAGAGGGACATTTTGGTGAGAAGGGGTTGGAGAGGTTGACAAAAGGCTGTTCAAATGGCTTTGCGTGCTATTAAGGAAATGGAATTTTCTGTTTAAAAAGTGGAAAGTAATCCAATCTGATCTGTATTGATTACAGATTGTGTATTGAAAAGTTGGAAAACAGCTGGATTTGACCTAGAGGCTGCCACATGGCAGATGAGTAATGAGGACAGCTCTCCTTTGCTCACAACATTGAATCTTCACTTTTCTAAGCCTGTGCAATTCTTGAGTAGAAACAGAGAAGAAAAAAAGATTGGAAAAGGTGAGGGTAAAAGCAGGAAGACCAATTAGGAAATTCCTGTCCAAATCCATGATAGCAATGTTGACAGTGGAGTATTCAGAGACAGACACAGAAAGGCTTCAGTCATACTCAGAAGACTGGTTTGCTAAGTCACAGATCAGGGAGGGAAATAGAAGGGAGGAGCTGCCTTTTAGATTTTTATGGCTTGACCCACTAAACAGACGGTATTTTTGTTTGTTTTCTTATGGGAATGAGAAACTCTACAGTGAGAGATAAATTTTGAGTAGAAAAACTGAAAGCCTTATGTTGGATATCTTTAGCTGATACTGAGTATGGAGTTTTTAAGCTTTGTGGAAACTGTTATTAAAATAAAAGAACCACCAGAGTATAATGAGAGCCACAGATGGTGGGGCTTGCTTCCTCTGTGTCAGACTGTTTGCGTAGATATTTAGTTAACCTTCACATTCACCATGCAAAGGAGTTGCTATTGTAACTTCCATATTGTAGCTTGCTATTGTAACCAGGACAGTCTGGTTAGCTGGCTTCCCAAGAGCTATGGTCAGTTGGCTTCCCAAGACCTGTGATGAACTGGCTTCCCAAGAGCTATGGTCAATGGCTTCCCAGGAGCTATGGTCAATGGCTTCCCAGGAGCTATGGTCAGTGGCTTCCCAAGAGTTATGCTTGTAACTGAGACTCGGGACTCAGTTCTAAGCTGTTTACTTTGGAGCAAAGCCTGGTCTTTTAATCTCTGCACCATAAATTCAGAGTGTTGATGCCAGAGAAGGGATTAAAATACTATTTATTTCAAATTATGTCAGCGGGAAGCAGACACAACACTCCACCATGCCATGACAGGACCTTCTAAACACTAATTTTTAATATATCTCAGCAATTCTGTTGCTGAAATAAGACTACTTTTTTTTTTTTTTTACTTTTTTCTTGCTGTTTTAGTTGGTAGGTAGGTGGTTAGTTTTTGAATCAGGGTGTCACTATATAGCTGTATATGGCCTAGAACATGCTAGGTAGCAGGGTGTTCTCATACTTTTGGCAATCCTCCTGCCTCTTGAAAACTGAGATGTATAGATGCTTGCCACCACATTTGGCTTAAAATGACATTTCTCATAACGAATACAGTTACACAACTACGGTATGTTCTGAGCACTAAGAGCAGATATTTCAATATGATCTTCTGCCTATGTGTGCAGTGCTGAGCAGTGAGTTCTCCCAAGAGAATGAACTGGATCACTACTCAGCCTTCTCGCCTGCACACATTCGCCTGTAGACACTCACTTACCCACAGGTGTCACTTCAGAGGCTGTTGGCTGTCATAGTGAGCTGAGCACTTATAGGACCCCAACTCCCTCCAATCTTGGACCCTACAAGTAGTGGTTGAGGCAAAAATACAAAACCATAAGGGAACATAAGCTGTGACTGCTGACAATACACATCACAATGATGTCTGGATGTTTCAGGAGTTGGGGGGGGGGACATCTGCTGACTTGAGTACACACAGCAGTGACACCTGGAAGTTAGGGTAGGTGGGGGTGACACCTGCTGAGTATCATACACACTGCATTGACACCCCAGACGTCAGAGCAGGTATGTATGTGGCAGGGGGTATATTTTCTGACTGTAGGACACATCTCAGTGATGTCCAGCTGTTAGGTAGGTGGCATAATATCTGCTCTTTGTGGTCTGTTAGGGTAGGTGGGGTGATGTCTGCTGACTATACTGTGCCCTGCAGTAACATTTCAGCTGGTGACAGGGACTCATTCTGTGCCAGCTTCAGCCTCCAGCCTCTGAGCCCACCCAGGACTTCAGAGACCTGCTGCTCCCCAGGTCTGCAATGGCCGTACCCTCCTCAGAACTGCAGGCTTGCCCCAAGCCTTGGAGGGCATCGACCCAGGATACTGCTCGGCACTGTCTTAGCATCCCGCTGCTACTGAGAGTGCAGACTGCTTTAAGTCCCACGTGGCCATCTGTCTTAAGTCGTTTTTACTCGCTTTAAGGTTGCTAGTTCTGAATGGATGGCACGTACTTCCTGTTTGCATTCTTCTTCACCGTCGGCCCACTTCATTCCCGGAGAAGGGTGGGACAAGAGCCCCGGTGGGGACAGCAGCAGACTGTCTCCACGGGCCACTTGACAACTGTCTATGGAGGAAGTTCTATTTCAGTGAAGAGAGCCAGAGCTTAAGCTGGAAGCTACCCAACATTTAACGGCCAGAGCAGAGAAGAAACCTCCAGAGAGAGCACTTTGAAAATGGCACAGAGGTGTTCGATGCCAACTTCATTGTCTTTGTGTGCAGTGTGTGTGTGTGTGTGTGTGTGTGTGTGTGTGTGTGTGTGTGTACACTTTGAGATAGGTCTCATTCTGTAGGCCCGTCTGGCTTTGAACTCAGACTGATCCTCCTGCCTCAGACTTCCAGAGCACTGTGACCACAGGCATGGGCCATCATTGCCCACCTCCCTCAGCTCTACCTGCTTCCTCCACATCAAGCTGCTTAAACTCCATAAACTCCTTCTGTGGATACAGATCCCTAACCCTGCAGCGCTAAGAGTTAGCAGCCTGAAATGCCTTTTCACACTGCCCCCCCCCCCCAAACCTTGCCTCACCTTCCAAGCCTCAACCTACAGGTTGGCTTCAACCTGCTGTGTTACGTGTTACTCGGAAGCATTTCTCTGTTCCCTCCTCTTCTGCCTCAACTAGCACGAGCCTTTGCCCTCATCTACCCCCTGTTGCTTCTAAGGTGAAATCCGTCCATAGCACTTTCGTTAGAGTAGTCAGGTCAGTGCAACCCAATGCCAGCCTATCAAATCCCTTTTCCTTCAGGCCTGTTCTTTGGACCTCACGGGTACTAGAGGCGGGTATTTACCAAGAAGCTACATCCCCAGCCCTTGCCTGTCACAGTCTTTAATAGATGTGACAAGTATTCATGATATGTCATGTGTGGGTGCTACAGCATCTACAGCCAGATGCTGGAAAAGCAGAAAGAATGAATCTTGTCCTCTCTATTTCTATACAGTCACAAAGTAGAATGTTTTGGTCCCAAAGTCACAAGCCCTCCCATGTCTTTTATATCACGGATACTACAATGGGGTTTCCCTGCAGCTAACATCAGAACTAGTTTAGAAACGTCCCTTCTAAAGTCCTGTGCTCATTTTATATTTTTAAATTGAAAATTACACCTTTTATGTACCATCTTCTCCTAAGTGCAGTCCTAAAGTTGGATACATTTCAGGTCCGACAAAAACCTGCATCCACCCTGGCTCCGGGCTCGCGGTCATTTATCTGTGGCCACAGACTGTAAACAGAGCTGAAGGAAACGTCAACAGAGGTTCTGGGTGGGTTGCAGAGAGGTGGCACCTGCTTCCTCCTGGGTGGGGAAGCTGAGGATTGAGTGGGGGGGGGTGCTGACACACACCCCCCCCCGCCCCGAGAAACCTAGACGGAAACACCGAAGGCTGCTGTCTCCAGATCCCCTGCTGCCCACAGTTCCTAACAAGGGGTGAATTAGAACAGAGAGCCCGAAAAGGCAGAGTTCTATACTAACAGGAAACATGTCATACTGGCTCAAGCAGGTTTGTGACTGTGCAGTATCACTATTGAAATTCCAGGGGGAAACACAATACCAACAGGCCCGAAATCAGGAAAAGGGGAAGTTGGAAATAAAATCAAAAATGAGGTTCCATGTGGCCTCCCAGACTTGAAAAAGGAATCGGGTTTCCCTGCCCCACCTTCAGCATGGCCTCCAATCAAAGCAGCAGAGTATTTCTCTGGGGGCTGCACCAGTACTCAGGAGTCCAGGTTATACTTGGGCAGAAGTAGATTCTTTCGTGGTCCCAAGTACAGGAAAAAAAAATTGAGACCACTGCTACTTCCATATGTAATGTAAACCACACTTAAATATATTTTAGAGACACACAGTTTACATGGATGCTAAAATTAGGATTTTTTTTTTCCCCCCTGAATTTTGGGATTTGTACGTTTTGGGCAAACTGGCTGGACCTGATCATCCCCTCCTGCTCCAGTTTGCTTATCCTGCCCTGTGCTAGTCTTTATTGATGGTGTGGCTGTGGGAGAGGCCCTTCCCACACTGTTTTACTCATTTATAAAGTTGGTGTGTGATATCCCTCTAACCCCATGGGTCTATTAATTATCATTGTCTTTCCTCTTCTGAACAAAAGCGTTTAAAATACTTCTGCCCAGGCTGTGCTCCCTACTGATTTTATTCATTCCATAAGTGCTTACTGAATACCTACCGCCTTCTGGCCGTTGAGTGTACAGTGATGAACGAAAGAAACACTTCCTCCCTTGCAGGTTGTAGGTGGAACTCAGTGCTTGGATATGGGATTAAGCCAGCTGTCTGACTCTATGGTGAGGTAGCCTGGGCTCACATCCCAGGTGTGACTTCCCTGCTTTAGACTTTGAGCTGTGTAGTTATCAATCCTCTGCACGCTGCTAATTAATTCCTTCTCTAAGGATAGGATATCCACGTGCCCGAGGTGTGTCTCCCTTAATGGACGCTTCCACTTAAGAGTCAGGAGGGTGAGCGCACAGGCCCAAGGGAGCTTCCTCATGCCTCAGTAGATGATTCCGGCCACAGAGAAAGAAAGATTCTCTCTCCAGTTTGAGTCTTACTTTGGGATTCAGGGTCCAGACCGTGTACTGACGTCACACTGAGATGTAGCAAAAACTCCCTTTTTAGTTTTCAGGGTAGGCCCTGCTTCTTTACCGTCCTACGCCCTTGGAGGCTCGAATGAGGAATCAGGAGTCAACACGACTCCAGTTTCTTCTGGTCCTTGTCCTGTTTGATCTCCCCAGGGTCTGCCTCTCCCTAGAAACAAATACCCCGGCCTAAAAGATATTACCGAGAAACGCGGTATTTACTCAAGAATTTCTGGAAGCGCAGAGGAGGTGAGACCACTCCCTTTGCAGCTGACCACTTAAAAATTCCTTCTAGCCGGTTTGCCTCTTCCCTCGGACTTAATCTTACTTGCCATCTCTATCCTGGCCTGCAGGAAGGCAGACCCCTTCCACCAGATGCCACCTGGACGGATGTGGAAAGCCAGTTCTGCCCCTGCTAAGACGCAGAAGTTGCGCCACAGGTTATTTGAATCTGTCAGCAGAACTTACCATTCACAGCAATAAAATTTGCTAAATGAATTGAAT